GGGGGGGGGGGGGGGGGGGGGGGGGGGGCTGCCTGTGTGCCTGGCCGGCCTTGAATTCTTCCTTTCACAGGTGGAACAATGAAAAGGCTTCCCTCTTTTTTATTTTTTTTGAATGAGTCACCGGGCTGATAGGATCACACGTGTTTACATTGCTCCAGCCTTGGCCCAAACTGTACCTCACGTTGCTTTTCTGAAGCTAATCAAGGAAATTGCTGTTTGTAAACCTCCTCGTATCAACATCTGGGAGCAGTCCCCTCTCCCTCCAAACCCAAACGGCTTAAAGTAAGAAAAAGAGAAACAAATACTGAAGCATGGCACACACAAAAGTGCATGCATGCACAGCCCACACCCACACACACACACTCACACACACACACACAACACATGCTGCATTTGTGATCCATTCCTCTGCTGAACAGGCAATGGAAACTTCTGCAAATGTAAATCTGCTGGGTTAAAAATACAGCGCATTAATGTGCACCACATGTGGCACTCTGGCAGGATGGAGGATATTTTGACGGCGGGGGGAGAGAGAGGGAGGGAGGCAAGAGGGAGGCAGTCCTGGGGTTTCTCCAACAACGGAGAGGGAGACACACGCACACACACACACACACACACGCACAGCTGGACTGAGACGACACCGCACCGATTCCAGAACTCCTCCTTTTTTACCTTGAGCCTTTTCCACGAACACCACCTTGGAGTCGTGCTGGAAGTTGTGTCCGTCGAGCAGCATCCTCTCCCCTCCGGGGGCGGGACACGTCTCCAGGCTCTGCTTATCCACCAGCGGCAGCTCCTGGGCCGATCTCTGGGCTGTGGGAGGGAGGAGAGAGAGAAAAACCGGCCTCATCGTTCAGCTAATACACACCCACTCCCCATGCAGACCTGAGCATCCAGACTGAGGGCTGAATCACTACCTAGACGGCTTTCACAGAGCTGCCGCAGAAAAGCTGTAAACCTCAACCTCTTTGTGTTAGAATTAAGCTGCTTCTTTGCCAGTAAGTAGGGAGAGGCTCCATGTTGTGTTTATTTGTGTTTTCCTCAAATTATGGTGGATATTTTGTCTCAAATATTTGGTTTGAGAGGATCTTTCCTCTCCTCGTCTTTCCTACTCCTCTCTCTTACCTTTTGGCCAGCGCCGTCTCATTCCTTGCTCGCTTTCAGTTTTCTGGAAATGATATACTACTTGCCATGAAATATTTGCAAGCATTATCTGTCTAAATGCAATGCTGATGTCTTGGCCAGGTCTCTCTTGTTAATTTCATTGGGATTGACCGGGATGCATAAATAGAGCTTCAATAAAACCTGAAATAGTTTTTCTCATATGAGGATCATCTTTATGTAATTTAATGCTTCTGCTTTCTGATTTTGATAAAACTCTAATTCTTTGGAAACCATCAATCTTTCCCACATCTCTCTATTTCTCTCCGTTCGTCCGTCTGTCGTTCTGCCTCACTCACACACAAAGTGAATTTTGGTCAAAAACAATTGCTCTGTGGCAGTCGTTCAGAAACTAACAATGGTCTATTTCAAGGGGCTGAGATCATGGTTTAACTACTGTCTTTCATTTACCTCATAAGACTTAATCTCTATGGCAGCTCTCCGTGCCAGAACCACATGAAGTGGTTGATCTGCTTGACTTTATCCCAGTCTAGAGAAAGGTCAGCTCCAGTACAGCGCTGAGAGTCAATGGAGTTTATCGAGCAAGGCCTTCATAGCCTTTACACAGACATATACCGGCAAATTAAAATGTACCTCTCAATCATATGCATCGGTTACAAAGCTCCACTGATTACTATCTTCGTCGATTAATCTAATGCTTATCTTTTTATTAAGTGATTAATCATTTAGCCTATAAACCTTTACAAACCAGTGATATTAATCACATTTCCCACAGTCCACGGAGATTTCTTCAGAGTGTTTGTTTAGTCCTAAAAACAGCCCAAAACCCAACAATATTTCCTTTACAGTGACAAAAGAAGAGAGAAAGGCAGCAAATTCTCACATTTGAGAAGCTTTACATTTTTGGATTAATCATTGAATATCTGATTAATCCAGTTTCCAAACATTTTGGATTGTGTTTTTAAAATGGAGAAACGTCTACCTGCCAACCCTAGTCCCATGTGTCATATGCTGAGTGATTTTCTTCCAACAACAAACCAGCACAGGTTACTCACAAGTCTTGTTTATTTTTGCAGGGACAGCACAATAACGCACAATTAAAAGTAATTGCAGCAGAGTTAGCAAACATGTAATTTAATCACATCAGTATTGATAGTCTAGTAAAATGTTCATGCCAGTGTTTTACTCTTATATAGGATGTTTTTGGATGAATATTGCTGCTGCGTTAATGTGTATGTTGAATTTTATTGCTGTAGATGTTTAAGGTCTGAACTCATTTTAACTACTTTATATACAGTTGGGTAGTTTCATCTACAGCAATGCGTTATATTCTTTAAAATCATGATATGTGCGAACCATTTGAGAATTTCCAGTGTGTTATTCTAGAGGCAATGCGTAGATTGTGATATATATTGCATATATCCACTTTTATCAAGTTTACATTTGGGCCACCAAAAATATACTTTGGCCACCAAATTTAGGTGCTTTGTGGGGCCGGGGCTTAAAAATTTTAGGGTCTATCCCTGGTTAGCGTCTTTGTATTTGCAAATTAACACTAAACACAAAGTACAGCTGAGGCGGAACCAAAGTATTGCACAAACTAAAACCAAGCATGATAAAAAAAAGTGAAGATTAGGAGAAAAAGAAACAAATGTAGTTTCGTATCATTTTGCAACCACTAGAATATATCTTCTGACTCCTTGGATGGATCCCGACCACCATGTAAGTGGTCAATAAATCCACTAATCTAACCAGTTAATCATTGTTTGTGAGGCATTTGGGGACAGAAGAGTTTATGAGTCTGATATTTTCAAGGTAAAACAAACAGAATAAGTACTCACAGCACTCAATGGGGTTAGATGCAGCCTGCAAGGACACCGTTCTCCCCGTGGCCTGGTTGATGTGAACTCTGAAGACCATCCGCACACGTGTGTTCTTGCGTCCGATGTCGGTCTCCCCCTTCCTCAGCTCGATGTCCGAGTTACGCAGCTTCAGGATCCCTGCGCAGTCGATCCTGTGTTGGTGGAGACACATGATGAAGAGCCTGAGTCTGTCTGTGCACGAGGCAAAGATCATGTGCATTGATGACATATATACTCTCGCAGTTAATCAGGCTGTGATTTATACAGCAGTGCAGCCAAATCAAAAGTGATTTTCACTCTGGGCTCCATCAACACGGTCCTGAAGGAGGCTGCAGTCATGTCAGCAGAAGATTAACACCAGCAACCCCCTAGCAGAGCTTTTACACATCAGTGCACCCACTATTGGGTAAAATTCAACCTCAATAGAAACAAACGGCTGGGAACGTTCATTACACCTTATGATCCACAAGAGATGGAACCTAAAATACTGTTCTCCTTCCACAAATCTTGCAGCCATGAATTGGCTGTAATGATTTCTTTTTACAGCGTCAGAGTCTTCATCAGACACTTAATAAAAGCCCCCCCCCTTCCACACTCCTCTCTGTCTGCGCTGCATTCATCTAACTTTTTTCATACTTAAATACCTTGAGCCTCTCCAAACGGTTTCTGGCATTTCCATTGCCGTGCTACTTGATGCTGCATTCCTCAAAGCCTAGTTAATGTCAACTTTTACACACATTTGAACACTCCCTAACATTCTTCTCGCCAGACACCAGGGTCTGCTTCGCTGGCGGAGTAATCAGGTGTTGATGCTAAGGACCCCAGCTGTTCAGCTCTCCGCCTACGCAGACAAGCTGAGTGCAAAACCACATAGTGAGGCGTCCGTTCAGTGGCTGAGAAAACGATTAAGACAGAAAGCACAATACCACGAAGAGAGTATTCCTTTTAACGCGATCATTTCATTTATTAAGAGTTAATTGGAGTCATACCAAGTTGACCAACGCAATTTGTGGCTTTATATTAGCTTGAAGATCTAAACTGATGGTTGATTAATGATTTAATTTTACACACGCACCCCTAAATCATCAGAAATATAATAATGCCTGTATTCTATACCACATAATAAAACATCTACTGTATAAGTCACACTGTCAAAACTAAATAAATCTTCCACAAATCCCTGGTCTACACTGTAAGTACTCTGAGGCGAGTCCTCCATGAGAAAAGAGCAACTATATCCCGAGGTGAAGTCGTTGTATAACGGGAGCTTATGTGTTACATCCATTAAAACGCAGAGAAAGTGCTGATGTTAGCAGGCTGCTACTGCCTGCAGCTCAGACAGAAACCCCAGGTCCCTGTTAGCAGCCCAGAGCTTCCCCAGTAATCTGATCTCTGAGGCTTATAAAATGGGAAAGCCACCCGTCTGTGTACAGAGGGCAACACTTTCACAACCAAAACACACAAAAAGACACACGCTCATGGACACACACACACACAGAATACTGTACTGGAACAAACTTCATATCTCCAGGTAGCTTTTTCAGAAAAGCAGCAATGTTTTGATAGGGTTTCATTAGACCAAAAGGAACAAAACTTCTGGAAGGATCCCTCCCAGCTGAATTAAAACTCCTTAAAGTTGAACTTTTATGTGACAACAGAGATACACATCTTTGCAGAGCAGCTGGTGTTTACTGGGTTTTTGTGGACATACTGTAAAGCATCAGATGCTCACTATATCATGGCTATGTTAACCTAGTTATGACTGGATTAGGTCTTGTTTTAAGAAACAACAACATAGCTTTGAAAGGCAGATGAAAGGTCAGTATTCACATATGAAAAACTTATTTATGGAGACTTTCGACTTAACTCTGACTTAAGGACTCGTCTCGACTTACTGTTTGGACTTGTCTCTAATGATTTCAAACTGAAAGTGGATTCTGACTTATCTCGAATAATTTGAGACTTGACTTGTACTTGGGCTTGCCTTAAAACAATGACATATAACTCTAGGTGTCAAAAAAGTTTCACTTTTCAACTAGATTTAGCAACTTTTAACCGACACATGTGGAACTTTGGGAGCAAATACAAATCTCAAGTCATGTCCATGTTGATGCTGGATTGAATCAAGACTTGACGTCCAAGAAAAGTCTGAAATTACTTGAGGCTTGAAGAGAAATACCTCAAAATGCTAAAAAAGTTCAATTTCCCCCTAATTCAGCCCAGTTGTAGAAGATATTTTAACCTACACGTCACCCAAACAAAGCTCCCAGGATGGGGACAACCCCTCATACTCACATGGCCCGCATGTTGTTCTCTGGCAGCAGTGGGATCTCCAGGACCTTGGTGTTGTTGTGCAGGGCCTCGTGGCTCGGGGTGGACACTGTCTTCCCGGTGATACGGTGGACCTGGTAGAAGGCGTGGGGTCTAAGCAGCCTATCATCGGCTGTGCCAATAAACAGCTGCAGGGTCAGAGGCTCGCTCTCCATGTAGCCGTGGAGCTGAGGGGAGGAAGAAAGAAAAGACACAGTTGTGGTTAAGCCCTTATGTCTTTTCCAAAAAAAAAAAGCGAAAAGCATCCATGTGCATGCTGTTGAAACAAATGTAGGTCTTTTAGAGGTCAGCCTCTCAGCATGATGGTTTTCAAACAAAGTACCCATTTAGGATCTTGTAATCACCCTTTTCATCTTCTTTAATTTACTACCAACAGCCTGTATACACTTCCTCCATCAGTACACGTCAGGCCTGCCAAGATGTTGATCCCACAGTAGCCGAATCTCAGGGGCAGCCGCTGCCAGAGAGCAGTAAAAACCACCTACAGCGAGCAGCATTGTGATTTGTGAGCGCTGCGTTTTCCTTGTGACAAGACTAAGCTAGTGTTTCAGGAAAGTCAAGGTCATGTCAATCCCACCAGGCTGCAGCCAATCAGGGTCAAGAAACACTCTCTGTAGTGACCCTACTCTGATTTTGATCAGTAAAACGATCCCGGCATGATGGAGATGGAGACGGCACAGAAGTGCTTCTCGCTGTAGTTGGTGGACTGGACCCAGAGTTTCTAAAGTACTCCCAGACCTCCATAGGTGTTGCTTGAGAGGAGGCCTCCTGCCAGGATGACCTCAACCACCCAAACTGCAGAATGCAGGCATGAAGCCCAAACCCACAGGCTGTAATATGAGAACTGCGGCTACTACTGACACACTGTCTGAGAGTTATGTATGTTATCCATACACTGTGACGGGAGAGGAATTAGAGCAGAATATTTGGCGTTTTGACATCAAAACAACTGAAAGAAACACAATGTGTATAACAAGAAATAACAAGGAACCAGGAAATAGGAATGTACTAAATAATATAAGTCATTAAATGTATAGACCATATGGACAAACTGTTTATATCTAGTGCTGTTTTAGAGGTTAAAAACATATTTTTCCTCATGTGCAAACTACTGCAAAGATGGTGAAGCATTTTGTGTTGAATTTGTGAAGTAGTTTCACAGCGTTCTTGTTGGACTACAGTGAAAATGTCATAAATCACCGGGTATGTGAGCAAAAACACGTGTTTTGAGAGATGAAATGTGACGATGCTGATATTGTCAACCAGATACAACAAACCTGATCAACATTTTCATCTTCCAACACAATAAATATGTTTTAGTGTTCCAAAACATCCCACCATGTCAGAAATTTTCAGCTTCAAATTTCAAGTTGCATATTATTCCTCCATTTGTCAGCCAAAACATAACAAGTTGACGTGTCTGGCAAAAACAGGCTAAAATCTTCTTTTTCAATAAAATTGAGCAACTCTGCTGCACTGATTTTGCTAAAATGCTGCCATTATCAGGTCTGAATCAGAGGAAGTAACATTGCTGCCGGTCGGGGTGAAGTAATATTATTCATCCATCTATGTTAGGTTAGTAATAACTTTTGACTACTACATGTAATCGCAAAACTTAAGGAATACATTAACCGTAGCATATATAAAAATTTAAATTGAAATAATGAGACCTCAAAACTGTCATGAGTAGGCAAGAAAAATGGACAATATGTGCACTTCACCATCCACAGACCCTGTCAAAGTGTTACGGAGGCAGATACTGAACCCCACCTAATTACACGCCACTGTGGATAAGATCGGCAGGGAAATGTTGAAATGAAGACCACAGTTTTCACTTGCACAAGAAGAGCACTCGAGGCGAGGAGTGCCCACAATGAGAGTGAAAGGCTCAGACAGGGGAGGCACAACATGTGATTTGGAGGAGGATCCCTGTCAGGGTTAAGAGCCTGCAAAAGCCCTGTATATTTGTGTAAGGAAATGGGTTGCTGCCTAGCAATGCTGTTTATTTAGGCAGCAGGAAGGAGTGTGATGAAGTGAGGTAGCCCGTTCACAAGGTTACTTTCAAACTGTAATTACTAACAGATTACTGATCATATCCTTTGAATTATTATCAGCATAAAATCCATGCAAATAGAAATAATCAAACTTGATAATGTCAGCTGAACGATTTCAGCTGTTTCTGATTATTTTAAAGAGTATTCCTGCGTAGAGACATTTGTGTTTATGGAAGCATTTATCATCTTTCATTTTAAAGTAGCAATCTTGAAATAAAGAAACCTTTCCTGTTCCTTTTTTTCTTTCGCTCTGTGATCTGAATCATCCGTTTCATAAAGCAGCTGCAGGAGACAACAGTTATGATTTGTTGATGCAATTAAATCAGTGCGATACCACTTCGTATAAACCCTTCACTCCTCCACCCTGGCAGTTTGACATTGGCAATACAGCCACCCCTCCCTAGCTCACATTATCACCCACAAGAGGAATGCCGAGACTCCAGCTGCTCAAGGCACCAAAGAGGAGGAGAAGGGGATGAGGGCAACCGGGGCTCCCTCTCCATTCCTGTCACAGACCCTCCCAACTCTGAAAGGATGATCACAAACACGCAAACATATGGACTGTTTCATCGAGGGAGGGATAGCTCAGTGTGACCATCCTGTCACGCTTTTCTGCTTCACATGATATTTGTTAATTACACTTTGTTTGAAAATCTAAATTCAATCACAAGGATCAAGGCCAAGAAAAAGGCACATGACTCCAAAAGAAAAATGCACTTCATATCAGCTCTCTGGAAGTGTTTTTTAAGCCATAAGCAGATCATGAAAGCTGACTTCAGACAGAGAAAAAAAAAGAAGACCTCACAGCCTAGAATAGGGGGTATTTCCTCTCCACCAAAGTACAGCATGAAACCCTGAGCATTAACTGCGGTGAGGACTGCACACAGCACTTCAGAGGAGCATACTTCAGTCTGCTGCTGGTGTAAGGGCGGGTGTGGTTGAGGCAGGCAAGCAGCGATGGCATTGAAAAAGAACAGAAAATAGCTGGCTTAGCTGTGCTCAGTGCTGGACGTGGAGAAAAAGTGTACCACACAGAACAGGACCGTCCAGAATAAACTCAGTGATGTCTGGGCAGACGAGTGACGGGACTTGCCACAGAGGCTTCCTCAGCCAGCGTCTGCAGCAGAGGCTGCATCGCTGTGTGTAACATGTAATCAGGAAGTCACAGAGATGGGGCTGCCTTTTCTGAGGCTCCTTCCAACATCTCCATCAGAGCCTGCCAGAAACGTGTGTGGTTTAGCCGCTGCCGCCTCCGCAGGACGCAGCGCGCGATGATGTCAGCCGTACACACGGGAACTTTCCTAAACAAAGGGAAGTCTGTGTGGTTGGGGTGGTAGCTGGCGGAAAAGTAGGGGGGGAGGTTTGGGTTTAGGTTTAAAGAGAACACACACTCTCTTTTTTCAGCTAGGGTGAACCCAGACCCCTTTCATTAAATCATTAGCACCTTCTCATGGACAAATACACGCGTCCTGCACAGATGTGTGGCTGAAGTTGCTGGATGGTAAAACATGTTTTCATTTCCAAATGTCCTATTCCACTGCTAATTACAAATATAATATTTCTGTTTCCTTATTCCAAAGCTGCTTCCTCAATGAAAAATGTATCACAACACTGTTAAATTGAACTTTAAAGCATTTTGAATAATGGCTTGTTAGAGACACAATGATCTTTCTGTGAGGTGAAAGTCAAGCAATACTTAGCTATTATCATATATACTGTTTTTGCAGTTAGTATAAAAAGGATCAATATAATCATTTTTTAACCATTTTGTTGAGCCATTGTCATATGTAAATATGAATATTGGTATCTTCCTTATTAATGCATTATCTCTCAGGTATTAAACCTGCATTAACACGTTTTCTTGGCCACTTGGGGGAAGTGCAACAAGCTAAAAACACACAAATTATCACATTATGGAGTTTATATACTGTAAATGTACTATGTATGTGGCTTATTCACACATCAGAGCACACAGAGCAACATTAGCATAATAGTGATTGTGTTTTAGTCCAATATTAATTCTCTTGTAGCTCTGTTTTTGGTCTCTACCAACTCTAGAGGGAAATCTTTCTCTTTAGCTGCTAAATGCTCCACTATGTTCACTGCTAGTTACAAGCTTGAACACACCACTTTCTTAAGTTCTGCTTAGAGTTAGTATGTAATATGGAACTGGGACACAACTTAAAGTCTGCTTAAAATGGCTGCTTAGCACTGTTAGCATTCCCCATTCAACCTAAAGGGCAGGATTAGCTAACTGCTCCTCTGTGGTTGTTTCACGCCAAAAAGACATTTTATCAAAACTGAAAGGCAAACACAGAAAAACTCTGCCCCCATATGTGACGAATGTCTGGTAAACTTGTAGACTTATTGTAATGTATTAATAAAATGTCAAAAGGTATTAATTAAACTGACAGCCCCGCTCAGCACTCACTTTGCCCGACTCTTTGCTGCAAACCCTTTTATTTATTCAGAGACTGAGGTCAGCGGTGCGGAGTAATGGTTGGGGGACCAGATGGGTTTATAACCAAAACATATCTGCAGTTGTCCACATTTTTTTTTCTTCAGACTCGACCACCAGAGCTACTGTGGTTAAAGCTCATGACTAAGCTCTTACTGGCCATGCTACATCACTTTGTAACTGTCTGTGCTGCACTCAAGAACGCAATGGAAAAGTCTGAGTCACCCTTGTCTGGACAGGAACTGACTGAGTGGACTGGTCTGTCTAATAGCATACCTATGGTATTCCATTCAGAAATGTGACATTTTTGAATAACATAACAGCCGGACCACGATACACGTCATCCCGATCTATTTTAACAAATGAGGTTAAAAAAAAAAAGACGAGGGGGGAAAGTGTTGAGGCGAGAAGTGATGAGGTAAGCAGCAAGAGTGAAAATGAGTCTGATGGCTGCACCGTGTGTTGGTCTAATCATCACAGGAAACCAAACAGTCTAGCTCAGTGGTTCTCAACATGTGGTTTTGGCCTTCCTGGTGGGTCACAAGATAAAACTGAGTGGCTGCAAGATGACGAATGTGAAAATTATGTTTTTTTTTGGTATTTGATTATTTTACTTCTAAAACTTTCTATGACACAGTCTAAAGGAGGGAAAATCAGTCTTTGGTTTGAGTGCTCGAAGCTTGTAGAAATGTGCAAGCTGTGATAAGGAGACTTTGTTTGGAGATGTCACAAGACAAGAAAGTTAAGAAGCACTGGTTTAACAGACCTGAACGATAGGGTGTCCTCCTGCCAGGGCCTTCACCGCTCCCCTGCTGCCCTCCGTCTCATAGTGAGCTCGGTGGTGGGATTTGGGCTGCACTTCGATCTGCAGGCTGTACGGCCCCGAGCTGGATGGCAGCTGCCAGTCGAGAGCTGGCAGGGATGGGCTGTCAGGGCAAGAACATGTTCAACATGTCAACTTAACGAGGAGGAAGGAGGGCTTATTTTAGACACACTTATCAAGGTAGAATGTGCAGAATGTGAACACTGTGATATGCCAGACGTTGTGATAAACCTGTTATTACAAATATGTTTAAACTTGTCAGTAAATATTGTGGTGCATGTATGGATGTTTCTCACTAATTGTTCAGGTTTATAATTTAATGAATCTTGTGCACATTAAAAGCCGTTTCTTTCACAGTAGAACAGATCACTCAAATCGTAATTTCTTCCTTACCTGACATATTGCTTTGGCTTGGACCAGGAGTACGGGTGTTGTGGCACATCCAGAAAACCACCACAGTAGCCCTCCTTCTTTAACGGCAGGCGGTTCGAAGGGTGCTCGTCCAGACAGAGCTCCCCCGGACTCAGCTCCTCGCCTCCGGGCTCCACCTTCAGGCTGACTGAGGGGTTGTGCTCCTGGCTGGTTTTCCGGGCCTTCATGGGGATTCCTTCCCCGAGGTCAGCCACTCCGTCTGTGGTCAAAGCGTTGATGGCTGCGAGGATGGCTGAGTTGGTGTACTGGTTGGTGTTTGGCAGCCAGGTCTCCTCGGTGACGCTGATGCGAGGGGAGGTCTGCGGGGATGGTCCAGGCGAGTGGTTGGGCGTATATGGGAAGTGCTTATGCGGTGCCCCGCTGCCGTTAAAGCTGTACTTCCTCTTTGCACCACAAGGGGAGTTGGGCCTGGAGCCACGCTGACCAATCCAGTTGTCATCTGTCAAACTTGTGCGAGGGGAGGTGGAGGGGGAGTGGCGAGGGGAGCCACCAGAGGTGCATCCGTCACCTGGCAGGGCGAGGGTGGAGCCCTTGGGGGACACAGATGGTGACTGCCAGGGGGAGTTCTGGGGCGAGTTGTCGTAGTTGTAGGAGAAGCCTGATTCATAGGAGGAGGCCTCGGAGTGGCAGCTGCGAGATGAGATGCTGCTGGCTGGACTCAGGCAGCTGGGGTCGCGATATCCATCTGCACTGGGGAGGGTCAGTGTCACTATGGAGTTGACTCGCTTGGCAACAGGAAGGTTGCTCTCCTCCACCTCATCCTCAGGAAACTGACCGTAGGCTGTGATCTCAATGCGAGGGCTCTCCAGGGTCGGGGCTCCGTTCGGGCGGACGCTGGAGGATGAATAGTAGCCGGCCGCTCTCATGTCATCCTGTGTGTCATAACTGTGAGGCTCGCTGACAGAGACAGATATAGTGGGGCTGGACTGGAGGCTGTGGTACTGGGAGGGAAGACAAGGGTTGCCCAGTGGGAGGGAGAGACTGACATTTGGCGTGTAGCCATATGCATCTGGAAAGCAAACAGATTAAGTTTGTTACCATGATAATCAAACACACATTCACTGGCTCCCTTACTGAGAGGGAGACAGTTGCCAAGATGAGTCTTACGAGAGTTGTTGCCTATAATGGCAGAAGAACCGCTTGCCTACCAGATTTGGCCCTGGCTATTTCCTGATGCAGAAGGTATACAAGTTAAAACTAAACGCCTCATCTGCAGGGGATCTCCAAACCCACTGAGGCAGCGACACAAAACATCTCTGAATGGCTCAATTTGTACAAAGCAAAGGTGAGAAACAGGAATAAAGGAGCCAAAAATAACTGCAGACTATAAATAACCAAAGGAAAGACCAGGTGTTTTTTTTCCACTTCCCAGTGCCAGATTTATGTCACTTAATGCACATGCTGCAGCCCATAAACTGTAACATCATGGAAACACACACTGATGCTTTTGTTGGCCAGTTTCATGTTCCAACAGCCATCAAAAATAAACACGGGAGCGACATGATTCGTGTATTTGCATGCTGTAAAGGTAAGGGCTGTACCCAGCCTGGGGAAGCTCATGGTCTCGTGCCAACGCTCCCGCTGGGTCATATGAAACTCTGCCCGTCTGTGGGGAAGGCTGAGGTCACAACCAGGGGGCAGAGGAGGGGGAACATGGGAACATGGGAACCGGGAGTTGTGGTTATATGTTGCATGAGGCTGGCTGAATGTGACCACAGTGGAGCGCATTGATACGGACGGAGGCGGCTGCTGCAGACAGACAGATGCAGTCAGACAGCCTGCACTCACCACAGCTCCTGTCTGCTGTAAATTAAAGAGAATTAGGGGCCCCATCATAAAGACTATGACATCAGTGCAGCACCATATGACTCCTTGTAATAAAAGAAAATTGTGCTTACATTTAATGCTGCTTGCGGTGTGTGACACAGTAGCACTGAAATGTTTGTTTTCTATAATTAGACTGCAGTGAATTAGCTGACATCCTAACAGGTAGCCCGAGGCTCTGCGCCATCCAATGAATCTGCTGAATACTGGCATCTGAATCACCCACAATGTTACCCACAATGTTACCCACAATGCCATGTCAGTCATTAGCCCAGGTTCAATTCTGACTATTTTGGGAGCACTTTTTAAGTCATGAGAGCCTCACAGGAGCAGAACCACGCCCACCATGCCCAAATCAGCAGGGAGGGGCGCACACTGAATATCTCCACCGCTGCTTTAATGCTGTCACTGACTGCTATCCACTGAGGCTGAATACAGGCATTCAGTTGGGAGGAAAAGCGCAGCCAAGAGCCTAATTCAATATAACATCACAGTTTACTGTATCGCATCCGAGCGTAAAGTGTCAAACACTGATGTAAAGTTGAATAAATGACACTTTAATAGCTTTACTGTGTGGGGATAATGAGAAGGAATGCCTACTGTAATAAATAAAAGTCCAAACTTACCCTCTTCAGCAGATTTCATTTTCTTCTTGGCGCAGGGAGCAACGTCTGAGATCAAACTCTGAGTACAGCTGCAGATGGGAGCGATTCCGTATCCATATAGCGGAGTTTATATAGTCCCCAGCTGTTGCTCAGGATCCTCTCTCGCTGTGTCGTCGCGAACAAACAACGAGAATGAGAAATAACAAAAGTCAATAAAGGCTTAGTTGGAGAAAAAAAAGCTGTTACTGTTGCAAAAAAAGGAGGGAAGAGTCGCATCCAAAATGGAAAAAAGAGACGAATATTAAAATATGTGGAATAAGATCATGACCGATTCGGTCGTGTTGTCTTATAAAAGCTATTTTCGTCGCTGTGTGGAGATATCGGACTCTGTGTCGGGGGATCCTGACTCTGCTGGGTCGCTGTGACGCACTGCTCCGGCGCACAGAGGACTTCTGCGCTTTTAAAGCCGGGGATCACCTCGGCGGCGATGGACCGCCTCTCCGCGCTCTGACGCATCCACACGTCCGACCACCAGATGGGTCCAGTGGAGATCCTCTCTCACTCTGGGGTTTCCAGAGGCATAGGAGGCCAATTACCAAACCTGGCAGAGAAGCCTGAAGGCTCCGAGATGAGTAAAACAAGCCCCACCATGGGAGAGCCAAATGCAAACCTCCAGTGATTGGAAAAAAAACAACTTACACAGCGCTTGCTAGAGCCAATCCAGCAGAATGTGAGCTAGGGTGAACATCCTTCTGCATATAAACAGTGAATAACTGGAGTTTAAAATGACACAGCACAGCATAATACACGATGATTTGTTGAGTGTCAGATGTTAAATGAAACTCATACTATGTCCCCATGATCCATGACTGACTTAATGAGCATGAACAGCATTAATCTACAGTTTCCACCCATTTTATCTACAGTATCTGTTCCCCTTGGCATCATTTACAAAGGAGTCATCAATGTGCTGCTGCAAGACACTGCACATGGAATCTCCTAAATCAAGATTTATGTGCAGAATAATCCTCACGAGCATTTTACATTAAACTGCTGCCATTTTCACCCTGAAAGAGCCATTCATCAACCGGTTACAGCAGACGGATGTTCGGTTAAAGGCTGCTGGGTTGTCAGATTGCAGCTGGAGCAACAGCAGATAAAAGAACAGGTGAGCTGAGGCAAACGTGCCAGAACATATAGCTCAGGTGCTGCTTCATGAGACATATATATACAGTATATAACATAAAACTTCCTTCAGATGTTGTATGGGGCGTCTCATGGGGTTTTGAAGTTATTGCAAAGGCAAATAATTGCTTTTCCACTTCCTCCTGACAGACTGCACGTCTGCGGAGCACAAAACACATAATTATCCATACTTGCATAGAAGTACTATATAAAAATCAAGTCTTACCCAGTCATTTGACACGCTGAACTGAGAGTCTTCATAGAGTTTTTCATAGGCCGCTCTCTGCGGTCGGTGTATACTTATTCGGCTGCTCTCTCCTCAGTGCATCCAGTCCCATGCAGGCAGGGTTGTTGCTATCTTTGGCAGGTCTGGATCTTTCAGCAGCTGGCAGCAAACCCGTGGTTTCTGTGATGACAATAGTCACATGGTGCCTCTCTCCAAGAGTCTGTCCATCCCTGGAGGTGGGAAACTACATTACTGCGCACTACAGCTTCTTATCAGCTGGCCCTAGTTGGTGTGATCCTCAGTGGTGGTGGAGTGTCACACCACCACCACTCTCAGCCAGGGAGAGTTAAGGCGTGTCTTCATTTAAAGGTCATAACTCTTTGTTTTTATTATACATTGAGTGTCCAAAAATAATGTATTTGCAACAAAATATTTTCCCTCTTGTGTGGTCATTCTGTGGTTTGCTTCTTCACATGCTTTACATTCTCTTTTCAGTGAATTGGGAAAATAACATGGCTCAATATAGGCAAGCAGATTCCTGCAGAATCAACACCTCAAAGTATCATTCTTTTGTCAATGCAGACTTTTTTGTGTATGACTTATTTGTCATCTTGCCTTGCACAGCAAAACTTACTGACAGGTGTCACAGTATCATAGCTGAAGGCACTGATTAGCCTTGTGGAAAACAAAGAGAAAGATACCACGACAGAGTCTACAGCCATGTTAGCGGCTCTGTGAGGCTGCTAGCACTAAACACAAAGTACAGCTCAGGATGACAATTTAACTAGTTTCACAGGTATTTGATTAACCAAAGTATTGGACAAATTAAACAAAAGATGAAAAGTTATAAAAAAAATTGTCATTTGGACGACATGGATGTGTTCACCAATCAGTCTAATAGTTATTTAAACAGTTTACTTCAGACCAGAGATTTCAACTTCATGGTGGCGCTAGAGGAAAAGTCAGAAGATCATCAAAATCAGTACGATTTATCCTTTGAGGCGCCGCTGATGTTCAAAATCCAAAATCGACCTAACAGTTTTTTAGATGTTTCAGTCTGGACCAAAGTAGTGGAGTGACAGACAGACAGACATTCCCAGAGCCAGAAAACTATTGTGGCTAAAAAAGCCATACATTGATAATAGGGGGACTCATAATACATTATTTTGATATTTTTTGCTATTTTAAGAGTGAATCTGTATTCCTAAAGATTCTGCTTGTACATGTGTTTCCCTTTTTATTGGATAAAGTCGCTGCCTATAAGTTTGTTTAACTGGTTTAACCTAAAGGCAGCTTTGAGTGTCTCTCATTGGATAATACTGTGGAAATGCAATTGTAATGTAAAATGTAGATGCATCTTTTTTTTTTAAATGGACTGCAACAAATCTCTTATTCCTTACTTGTTACTGTGTCTGTATCGAGTTGCCAACTACTTCCTATAAGCTGCTGTATCGGACTGCACTACTGTCTTCAAACCCTTTCCTTCCTCTGACTTGGATCTCAGTGATTGGTTTTAGAGAAACAGTTTTAGAAATCAGCTCTTAATCCATATTTGTCTCTATTGTGAAACAACATGGCATGCGTGCCCCACATCCAAAGCAATATTCCCTCCTCACCCATTGGGATCTTATTTGGACAAAGCCCCCCCCCCCTCCAACAGAGTATCTGAGGGAGTGACGGCACTTGTGAAATCCTAGCTGTCTGTTTCATCATGGGGACGTGGCTCAGTGGCTCCCCAGTCATTTGAAGAACCCCCTTTGACCTCATGGAAATCTCTCATGGGACTGAGGATCTAATTGGGGCAAAAGAGACGGGAGGTGGGGCCGGTGGGGGGGGGCTTAGGTTGCTACTCCACAGTTATGTGTAACTGAAACATGTGCTGCAGTAAACACTTCCACCCGTCTGCAGTTAATAAATAGCTCTGCTGCTGATTGAATCGCGGACCCTTCTACGTCAGAGCAGCGGCTGGGGCTCGTAGTTTTTCCAGCCAGGCCTGGTGCTGGTTAGTGGACACCTTGGTAATAGGCCGCTGCAGACCGGATGGATCCAGAGCCACAACTGAAAAGAAGAGAACAATAGATAATGAGAAACGTCCCGTGTTGATGATGTAGACACGGCACAGTGAACAGAAGACTCACTTTGATATCAACAAGCTGCTTTTCACTACTGAAACTGGAGACACTGAATGTATTTAAAACCAGAGCTGTTTTTAATTCTCATTTGAACATTTTCGATTTAAAGTACTTTCCTGCTTTTTAATCTATAGGCCTAATAATTAAATATCTGCCTCTTTAAGTCCTGCTTCTCGCTGTCAAAATTGGAGGCTTAAATGATTTTGGTTTGAAGTCTCAGGTCCTTATTTTTGTGACTTAAAGCTGCACAAATCAATAATGTTATATTAACAATGGATTAGATGACTGTGTGTTATATGAAAGGGTTCACTTGTTGTGATGAACAAAACAAAAGAATTATCACTCAACTCTGGAGCTCTGCTGTGTTTTTAGCATCTTTCAGCTCATTTTTTACAGCCAAAACTTTACTGTTTTGGTTCAGTCTGACTGCTGTTTTAAGCTCTGATAGCACTGTACACGACCTGCTCACCACCAAAGATCAGAGCGACAAAGTCAAAGACTAAGTGGTGAGCATTTAGTGGAGCATTTAGCAGCTAAAGACTCTGTGGTTGGTGCAGAGTAGTACACAATGTTCATCGGGTGTCCTGAAGAAAAGGCTCCATGTGAATGCTAATGATGCTCTGTCTCTGCTGGACATGGAAACAGGCAAATGTTTGCAAACAAGTTCTCCATATCAACTTAAAAATGTATTATATGTCAGTCAAATTAGTTGATGCAACTTAATACCAGGCTGAGTAACAGTGCCCTTTATGGTTTAAAGTTTAAAGTTTGCCTGTGTAACCACGCCCAACAGCGATGTCACAGTGTACTGACACACCCTGGAGTACAGGTCGGCATCGCTGAAGCAAAGCGAGGAAGTTCAACTATTAGAGGACAGCAAAAAATATGATTTTCAGTTGCTGTTAAGTTGCTCTTTAATACAACGACTGGCTTTCACATACAGTACTGGTTTAAAGGCAGTGATACACAGGGCAATTGTTGGGCAACTTGGATGGGAGTTGGCTCAGAGTTGTCACTTTAATCCCATAGGAACATCTTGTTACCAGGAAACAAGTGAACAGACCCTGTGGCACACTGTTTTTTTTTTGTTGCCTATAATTATTGCCAAAGTGCATCTATTTAACTAAAAGATGTAAGATGGTTTACATATGAAAGAGCTTTTGCCATTTGTTTACAGTGAGACCTTCACACTGTGCCAATGTGTGACCTTCTTACAGCTTAGTGAGGACAACACAAACACAAAACAACATACTGTAGAGACCTCCTTTATGTTGCATTCTTTTTTGGCTAATGAGTGACACAATAACATTGCTAATTTAATCAGGCTGTAGATCATCTGGTGTCCAGGAAACATTTAAATATATTTTTGACCCCACGTCTCACTGGGATCCCCGGATGCCCAACTGTGTTTCCCAAAGTTTTGCCTTGTGTATCATCATTTTAAGAGTCTGGGAGGGGTAAAGCATCGGGAGGGGGGTTGGGGGTGGTCTCACCGTCACACGCCCACACATTTTTGTCGTCTGCCATCCCACACTGCCAAAACTTTGTGAATTCTTAGCCCGGTATGACGTGGTTTGGCCACAACGAGGTGGAAAAGACCTCAACTCGCTTTTCTTTCCACAGTTCTAACCCTCAAAATCCAGTGCCTGGCTTTATTTGTGTCTGAACAAAAACACGACGGAACATTGGACAGTGCTGTAAGTTATTCATAAACTTAGAAACAACTGGCCCAAAAGGCTGGCGTTCCCACTGCTGAATCACCTGTTTGTTTTGGAAAAATGAGTTGAAAGAAAAAAAATATTACTGTACTTCTTTGTGTTTTTTAAGCCTGCTCCGCACACCCCTCTCACCATATGTGCACACATGACTGCTATTTTATAAAGTGTTTCATGATGTCGAATAATAAAACATTATAAATAGTCTCCAAGACCACAAGTGGAGTTCAGACTGTGACCAGAAAACTGGTTTCTGGGG